GCATGGGATTGGACCTTGGGGTGTGTCCCAAGGGGTGCCCAAGTTTTGTAGAGAGGGAGGTTATGGGCAAAATGGGCTTGGCCCATTGGATCCAAAAATCACCACACGGGCTTGACCCATTGGGCAACATGGGCTTGACCCATTGTCTTAAATGATTTCTTTTTATACGGTCAAACTTATCGTACGACAAATAAATAATTTGAATATGTAGAGGGAAAAATAGGGGCATAAGATCTTGTGTGGCTAGATGATTGGCCTTACTAATGTCATGCACACAATTTATTAGCCTCTATAGTAAGGTGGTTGAGTAAAAGCCATGGGATATTTTTGAAAATTTAATAATACCATTCTATAGCATACTTCTTATAACTGTGATGTTAATAATATATTTGTAACGAGTTGAATCAAATTGAATTTATTTATTTATTATTTTTTTGGGTATCTGTTAAATAATATTCTTAATTTGTTTGTGGGTTCGGGAATTGACTCGAGTTGGGTTGGTATGAATTTACAAATCCTTTGAATTGTGTAGTTTTATTATAGTTGTAGTGTCGTGAACCATTCTATTTAAATTGATAAAAACAAATTATATTACGTCTCGATTTCAAATTCGTCAGGCCCGTTTGGCAAATTTTTTTTTTTATTTTTTGTTTTAATTATTCTTGGATCTTGAGTATTGAATGATATATAATTTTTTATACTTATTTGCTTATCATTTCGGTTCACACCTCCGTAATCATTTTGTGAGTTCAAATTATAATAAAAAAAAGTTGATGAAATGAATATTAAGTTCATATGTAGCACTCACCAAAGAAACAAACGTGCCATATGTATTGTAAAATTTTAATCTTTTAGTTACGATTAATATATATAAATGGAGAGGTGAAAAAAGACATTAGGGGTTATTTGTATGGCGATCCCGGTTTTCTCTGTTGTTGAACTGTAATCCGGACTTGGTTCCGTAGATCTGTTGTTGTCTTATCCTCATTTCTATCCCTTACTCTTTGTTTTAGAGTTTGGGTTGTGTTGGGCGTGTTTCGAACTGGTTGGTTGAGCCTTAGTCCCATTCCTTGTCACCCAGATTTTTGGTGGTACGCTCGAGCGGGGTTTTCACAGTTCCAGTATTTCGTGCCTCTGCAAAACTTTTGCAGGTGTGTTTTTCACGCTCGACCGAGTTTCCTTACGCTCGAGCGGGTCGCGCCCGAGCGGGTCTGTTGGCGCTCGAGCGGGGTGAGCATTGTCGGTGAAGATATTGAGGGAGGAGAATCTACGCTCGAGCGGACTGGTTTTCGCGCTCGGGCAGGTGTGTTTTGTTCTTGTGTCTTGGAGCTTGAGCGAGACTTCTTGCGCTCGAGCGGGTCCAGTTTTTTGTACTTGACGCTCGAGCGTCCTTTTATCCGCTCGAGCGAAAGAGTCGTATATCAGTTGGCAGCTAGGCTATTTTAGATCACTTTTTACATTCTCTCTCTCTCTTACTTTTCTAAAACTCCATTGGAGAGCCTCTCTCACTAGAAACCCACCTTCTCTCTAGGGATTGATCTAGTTAGAGTATTCTCCTACCCTTTGGCCTTTACAAATAGTGTGTTGATCATTGAGGGCTACATTTTGATCCGAGAAATTTGGTATTTGGAGCACTTCCGAGTTTAGCTCTTTTTCTCCTTGGGTTCTATATTTGAGGTAGGGATTTCCTTGTTTTTTTTCTATACTTCGTCTATAGATAGACATGTAGTAGTTTTGTATTGCATGAAAATCATATCCACGTTGGATTTGTTTGAAATCATGAGAAGGAACCTAGGGTTGGTTGTTTGAAAATAGTTATTTTATCATTGATGGTTGTTTTGGGCTAATTGGAGTGTAAACTATCATGTTGTAGTTGAAAGAAGAAAAAACCCTAAACTATATTTTGATTTGGTAAATTAAAATGGGGGTAGTTAACCCATGTTGTAAATCTCTATTGTTAATGTGAGTTGGGTGAAGGTGTTAGTGCCTAAGGGGTTAACTTTGGCTTTGAAATGGTTTTGAAATGAATCTAGTGGACTAATGTGAGTTATGGCTTTATTAACAACGGAATTGGTTTTGTAAAATGAAAGGAATGGAGTTGGTTTTGTGAAAACAAAGGGAAATGGAATTTGTTTTGTGAAATGAGAAAAGTATCTTTGTTATAAGTACAAAAATTGGATTGTTGTTTCTTGAGGGTTAAATACACACATGTGGGGGGTTGTATCTTTAACTACCGTGTTAGTGTTGTTGTTGAGTTTGTGGCCTCATAATAATTGAGCCTTTAATAGATGTACTAAATACTTGCATCTAGAGGTTTTGTCCTTGGTCATCAGTGGAGGATGACATGGTTGTGTTGAATTGTCGTGTATGCATCATACCATTGTTGATTGAACATTGTATGTGATGAGATGCTGAAATACATTATATATGTATACCTGTTCGGGGGAAATTAATTATGTGTTCATATACTTTAACACACGGCTTGTATCTTGATAGTTTATGTATATGTGTTATACATGTTGGTTATGCCCTGTTGTGTTTTGATTGGTGGTGTTATACCTTGCGCTAAAAATCAGAGGTACCGTGACCTTCCAGCTAGCGCATGGAGAACTGACTGCGTTGAAAATCTAAGGCACCATACCCTTCCAGCTAGCGCCTGGTAAACTGGCATGTTGTTGTGAAAGGTGTATCTTTGGCTTATTACGCACATAGCTAGTAGAGTGAAGTTTTGTTGTTGATGTTTCAGTATGTCTGAGAATATCATGGATTGTGTTGGTTACGGTTTTGAAGGGCCAAGTTGCCCCATTGGTTTATCTTATGCATGTTGGTGAGTTGTTATCTCCCTTTTTATAACGGTGCACGTATAGATTTGATTGTATCGGGAAGAAGCCAAAATGTCATTTTTGTCTTTTGGAAAGTGTGAAGGAGAACGGATATTTTATAGAGATATATGTTTTGAAAAGGCATATCTATGTATGTGTGGAAAGTGGAAGAGAGCAGTGGGCTTAGTGAATTTATTTCCTAAGGTATTGTTAATGTTATGAAAGATTGGGACGGGGATTAATGAAAAGAAAAGAAAATTGAATCGCCTATGGCGTTGATTGAAATAGTTGTTTTCAAGAAAAGTTCATACTTATGTATATTTGTATAAACTGTCATATTACTACCCTAGTATGAGATTGAGCATTCATGAACATAGCTATCTGTAAGTTGTTATTGTTGAGGACCATGTTGAGATCCCTACTGGACTATATGTTCATCCCACATTGTTGAATCTTTTTCAGGTGTAGAGCAGGATGTGCTACAAGATTTGGATCTTCTTATTTGTTGGCCACGGGGCCTTCATTGTGTTGGCGGAATGCCATATGTGTAAAAGGGTTGTACCCTTCTTCTTGATTTGTTAATGATGTAAGCCCAAGGGCAATTTATCTATTATACTCATGTGGTATTTACTTGCATACGAAATGAGAGCAATGTTATTCACTTCTACGAGTTGAATATACAAGTTTATTTCTACATGTTATCTCTGAAATGGAATTAAGTAAAGGAAATTGGTAATACTTCGAGTAATAAAAAGTGGGGCGTGACAATTTGGGAATTGATTATTTTAATTGATTTTTTTATTTTTTTAGAAAATATGTGTAAAAAGTAACGAAAGTGATGTGATTGGATGTTTTAACATTTTGACTATTTTCGTCAAAACCTTCATGCCAAACAAGCTCTAAATCTTAGAATTTTGATCGATCATGTTGAGATTTCTATTTGATTTCATAAAATTATATTATGTGATTAAAATTTTAAAAACTAACAGTCTATACCTATCAAATTATTTAAGTTTATTAAATATATATATATATATATCAACCATTTGTGTAGTTAAAATAAAAATTTATTGACGTAAATTTTTTAATAAATTTTTTTTATCACTCTTGATTAGCAATACCTCCACTGTCGAAATGCTTTTTTGGTTTAAATCATCAAGCCTCTTAGATTTAAAAATTACTTTGAAAACTTCATTTATTAATACATTAGTTTTATCCTTTCTTTTTACGTGGGACAACGTTTCACCAAGATAAATAAAGAAATATAAATTAAAGTTTTGAAAATTTGAAAATAACTTTGAATTTTCTAAAATAATTCAATAAAATTGACCATTGAACGACACCAATTTGGAAAAATATTAATATGATGTATTCAAAGTTCATGTCCAAGCTATATATTTGTTATTGTGTCATTTGTTTCAAATATATGGGTTGTCATCCCACATCGATTGCAGATAATATTCTCAATTATCATGTTTCAAATATGTGTTGCCATCCCACATCGATTGTAGATAATATTTAGAATAGACTTATAAGATAGCATTGGACACTTCCATTGTGGAGGCGTCCTTGGAAAATCAAAGGAATAAATCCGTGCGGCTTGCCAGCTACCATGCTTAGGCCAAAGCGGACAATACTTCTAGGTGTTGGCTGGGCAATGTGTTGTCCATGCCTCAAGCTGGTAGCTAGTTTGGCTATGTGTTCGACATGAACGGACGACTACAAATAATGTACAAGATAGTCCACAATACCTCTTTCATCATAGAAGCGCCTTTTTATTAAAAAAGACAGCCCACATAATCAAATTCTCAATAAATTTTTTGACCCTTTTTTTTTTTTTGGACAAATAGATTTACTAGTCAGGTTATCAATAGATTCAATAATGAGAATCGACAATGATTAGATCGGGATAGAAAAACACAACCTTAGAGTTGGCAAATCTGAATGGCCAATAATATTTCATGTACCTCAATGCACAGGGTCGTGTCTAAATGCAAGCATCATAATCAAACATTCAAGTTTTTCCATAAAATACTTTCACACCTAATACTAATCCCTATTGTATAACAATTTGTTGGAAATGGTTGAAAAATTCTGGGTAAAAACAAAATTTTTTCCTAACTTTAGTCTGTTATTTCGGTGGGACCCGTGCGTCTATTTTGGCGAATCTAAGCGGTAATGCGTTCTATGCCGCGTTGTGATTCACGTGGTATATTTGGTTGCTCAAAACCATTATCGGGTGAATGGGAAATTGAAGCCAAAGTAAACTCAATGGAAATGGAGTTTTGGTGGGAATTCCTTAAGGTTGGAAAATGGCTTGTCCCACATTAATTTGGTGGGAAGTTTTGAGTAGGTTTATAAGGCATGGGATTGGACTTTGGGGTGTATCCCAAGGCGTGCCCAAGTTTTGTAGAGAGGGAGGTTATGGGCAAAATGGGCTTGACCCATTGGATCCAAAAATCACCACATGGGCTTGACCCATTGGACAAAATGGGCTTGACCCATTGCCTTAAATTATTTCTTTTTATACGGTCAAACTTATCGTATGACAAATAAATAATTTGAATATGTGGAGGGAAAAATAGGGACATAAGATTTTGTGTGGCTAGATGATTGGCCTTACTAATGTCATGCACACAATTTATTAGCCTCTATAGTAAGGTGGTTGAGTAAAAGCCATGCGATATTTTTGAAAATTTAATAATACCATTCTACAGCATACTTCTATAACTGTAATGTTAATAATATATTTGTAACGAATTGAATAAAATTGCATTTATTTATTTATTATTTTTTTGGGTATCTGTTAAATAATATTCTTAATTTGTTTGTGGGTTCGGGCATTGACTCGAGTTGGGTTGGTATGAATTTACGAATCCTTTGAATTGTGTAGTTTTATTATAGTTGTAGTGTCATGAACCATTCTATTTAAATTGATAAAAACAAATTATATTACGTCTCGATTTCAACTTCGTAAGGCCCGTTTGGCAAAATTTTTAAATTTTTATTTTTTGTTTTACTTATTCTTGGATCTTGAGTATTGAATGATATATAAATTTAGGTTGCGTTTGGTAGAGTTTTATAAATATGATTTGTATAGCGATCCCGGATTTACCCTTGTTGTATAGTGATCCGGACATGTGTCCGTGGATGTTGGTAGTTGTTCATTATCTTGTTTACATCCTTTCCTACGTTGTATTTGAGTTATTAGGATGTGTTGAGCGGGTTTGTTACAGGTTGGTTGAGTTTAGAAACCAAAACTAGTTGCCCAGATTTTTGGCCTGTACGCTCGAGCGGAGGTGTTGGCGCTCGAGCGTAGATTACGTCCATCCAGTATCTTGTTGTGCAGTGTTGTGAGCTCGAGCGTAGGGTTGGGAGCTCGAGCGGAGTCCTGGTTCTGCAAAAGTGCTGGGCGAGTGCATTCTGCGCTCGAGCGGGAGGTTGGCCGCTCGAGCGGAAGTCTGTGAGTGCGACTAAATTGAATAAAATTGGTCATAATAGCATCAATTCCAGTTTTGGGCAAGAAACGTGTACGAGGACCGACCCGAGGAAAGAATGTTGAGAAGATTAGAAAGGAACGTGGTGATCGAATACCCGTTACACTTAACCGTTTGACCAAAGCAATAGAAGGGGAATACGCCACACCGCTAGCAGCTGCTCTTGGTCAACAAATTCGAGTTCATGCCCCAGTTCGAAATGATGGATGGCTAGAAATTGCCTTTGGGTTAAGAGAGTCCATTGTTACAAGAGTTGGGGTAATTTGAAATATATGTGTTATATATTTAACATGTTATTTATGTTAATCGCAATGATATATAAAATATATTGAATTTTATTATTTCCAATTGCAGCAAACTTTTGACTTTGGGGACTACAATAATGATGTGGATGTGAGATGTATTATTGATCATAAGTGCCAAACTTTGTACAGTGAATGGAAAAGTAGATTACACACACACTACAAAGCCCTTAAAGAAAACAATGTATCTCACCTCAAAAGTCATATACTATATCCTTGTACAAAGGATGATTGGGAATGGATGATTGACAATTTGTGGGAAACTGATGATTGGAAGGTATTTATAAAAATATTTACTAAAGTAACATCTTCCTGTATATTAATACCTAATATTTTTTTTTAATTTGTAGGTAAAGTCAGAGAATGCGATGAAAGCGAGAGGTTGTGTGAAGTATAATCATACGAGTGGCTCGAGATCATTTGCATCGCGAGCATCTATCATTGTAAGTGTAGATTTACAAATTTGAACATACTAAATTATAAATATATAATTTTTTGATTGACTAGAAAATCTAATGAAACGAAAGGTACAAGGAAGCAAACCGAATATTACGAAACTATTCGAGGACACCCACAAACGTCACCGACATGGGGGAGTGTGGATAAATAACACAGTTGAGGAACATCATGTAACCATAACTATTTCAATTTCAATAATAAATGTTTGCATTTTGATATTATGTTTTAAGCTTATTTATGTTTCATTCATAGGACCTGAAACTGCAGGTGTTAATATTATTTATGCTTTCCATCTATGTCAACCTTTTTTTTGTTTTTTCCTTTCATATTATTCTTGGTTTTTGATTTTTTATTTATAAAGGTTCCCTTTACCAAGGCTGAAAGCAATTTTGGTTTTGTCGGTCTTCTTGAAGGGATACGGGATCCGCAAGGACAGTACTTCATCTTCTACACATTTTGAGGCTCTTAACTCCGAGGTGATTGTTCTTCAACAGCAGTTAGTTGACCAGCGACAACAATTAGTTGACCAAGGAAAGCAGTTAGTTGACCAGGCTCAAAACATGTGTACAATGCAAACTATCATTCAAATGTTGGCAGCAAAAAATGGGATAGATCGAGCAAACATTCCGGGGTTAGTTCCAAGCAACAATGCTGGGGAGGATGCATCGGGTGTAAGGGAGGATGAAACTTCTCTTGGTTGAAATAGAGGTAAATTTGACACCTCATTAAATTGATTTACTTTATTTAACCAATCCTAACATGTGTCAACAATATAAAATTATATAAACTTTGTATTACAATCCTAGCATTACAACCTTTGTATACAATAGCTTGATATATATGAAAGCTTCACAATAATTTTTTTATTAATTTTAACTATATTTGTATATTATTGTTGAAGTTAATGCATTAATAAAATACTCATGTTTTTATCCTTTTGTTCACAGGTTGGTGATGGATGTTCGTGGTTTAGTAGTGATATATATCATTTTGCACGTTGGCATTCATTTAATTTTTCTTTGTTTCGTTTTATAGGTTTTTTTGTTGAATGTTTATATACTTTTGGGAATTATTATGTTTTGGATTGTTGGATATAGTTAGACGCATTTTAGGATTCTTATGTTTAGTTTTGTTGGATATTTGAATAAAATTTGGGATATTGAAATGCATTTGATATTAATTTGGTTACATCTCTGTTAAGATGCTGAGCATTTTTTACTTCCATGGCTGAGGATCTCCTTCACCGTTTTTTGATTTTCTTAGTGCTCTACCCAAGGTGATACTCTTCTTTGACTTTGGTAATTTCGCTATCAGTAGCCGTTGTCTTAGAGCTTATTTTCCCCAATCAATGGTTTTGTCAAACGTTTAACTATTACGTATTTATTTTGTGCAGTTGTGGAAAGTGTTTGCCTTTTGAGCTTCTCATGTGGCATTGTGCTTGAGTTTATTTGATTATATTTCTATTGTTACTAATGCAGGTAATATTATCGCCAGATGCAGATCCACCAGTTGTCAGAATAATGGATTACAAGTACGACATCCACTCACAAACATTCTTCTGCTTTCTTTTTTTAATGGTGGACGCACTTTGATGCTTCGATAAAATCCTGCTCTGAGATCACGTTGATATTAATTTCTTGATGGATACATATTATAATTCACGTGGTATATTTGGTTGCTCAAAACCATTATCGGATGAATGGGAAATTGAAGCCAAAGTGAGCTCCATGGAAATGGAGTTTTGGTGAAAATTCCTTAAGGTCGGAAAATGGCTTGTCCCACATTGATTTGGTGGGATGTTTTGAATGGGTTTATAAGGCAAGGGATTGGACCTTGGGGTGTGCCTCATGGGGTGCCCAAGTTTTGTAGAGAGGGAGGTTATGACCAAAATGGGGTTGACCCATTGGATCCAAAAATCACCACACGAGCTTGACCCATTGGGCAAAATGGGCTTGACCCATTGTCTTAAATCATTTCTTTTTATACGGTCAAACGTATGACAAATAAATAATTTGAAATATGTGGAGGGAAAAATAGGGATATAAGTTCTTGTGTGGCTAGATGATTGGCCTTACTAATGTCATGCACACAATTTATTAGCCTCTATAGTAAGGTACAAGAAATTGCACTTTTGGCGACTACTTTTGGCGACGACGTCAATTTTTCATCGCTAAAAGTATATTTTTGGCGACACAGTGATCAATTTCGTTGGTAAAAGTATACCTTTACCGACGCAACTTGTTGTCGTCGCTAAAAAGGCATAACATTATTTTAGCGCCAATTTTTTTGGTTGGCGCCAAAATTTCAAAACTTTTATCTACGAGGCTTATGTTTTAGCAACACAATGAGCGTTGCTATTAGTGTGCTTACTTTTGGCGACGACAAGTTGGCGTAGGTAAAGAGTTAACCATTTAGCGACGATGACACTATTCGTCGGTAAAAGTTTTGCTAGTGGAATGATTTGATTTAGTGATTTGTGTTTTTTATTATAATTTTTGAAAGAGTTTTAAATATTTCAGTTACTTAATTGTAAAATTAAAATGATCATTGAATTAGATCACAAAATGAACCCATTGAACACAGTTTTAAGTTGAGATGACTAATTTGAGATAATTTAAATTTTTTCAAAGAATATGGTTAGATTATCAATTTCAATATGTTTGTTTTTATTTTCAGGAACTAGTTTCAAAAATGTTTTTCCTAAAAAACTAAAAACAAATTGGGTGAACAAAAAAATACTTATTATTTTTGTATATTTTTATCTTTTAGGTCATAAATACTTTTTAAAATTTTAAAAATATAATTTTCAACCACAACAATGGCGTCTCTCACCCCTGGCATCCTCTCCAAACTTCTCCAAAATCTTAGCAACACTGTCACCGGAGGGTATCGACAAGAAAGTGGGTGTGTCATAAATACTTTTTAAAATTTTAAAAATATAATTTTCAACCACAACAATGGCGTCTCTCACCCCTGGCATCCTCTCCAAACTTCTCCAAAATCTTAGCAACACTGTCGCCGGAGGGTATCGACAAGAAAGTGGGTGTGAAAGGAGAGATTGAGGGTTCGGGAAAAGATGGGTTAGAGAGAGAGAGAGTCTGCCTTCTCTCTAGAAATTGCCTAAATTTCTAGGGTTTTCTCATTCAATATTTCGTTGATAATGGCTGATCTCACATCTGATTTACGCAATTTGGCTACGATGGCTGATGGGTTAGTGACTGAAGGTTCTTCTTCGCCTAAGGGGAGTTCGCACATCGTGAAAGATTTACTGTTGGAGAGGGATTTGTTAACATTGATGGACATCGTGAAGCGAAATGGGGGTAAAAATCAGTCTTCTGCCTCCGAGATCATTTTGGGTATGAGCCCTAGGGCTTCGATTGGGGTTCAGTCCGAGGTCCCTACTCCTAGTTCCTTTGTCGAAGCTATGGGTGGTCTCTGTTTCGAGATCTGAGACCTTGCTCAGCAACAAAAGCTTTGTTTTGGGGGAGAAGTGGCGTCGAGCCCTGCCGTTGTTCATTCGCAGGTATGGCTAAGGACTTATGGGTCAATTGCTTGGGCTGTTTGAAATGCCTGATCATTAGATTTTTCTTAACTAATTCATGCATTGAATCAATTTTACAACACTGCTACAAATGTTGAGATTGAGTTGCCTGTTCCAGCCGATGCTACCAACCCAAATGTTTGGACATCATTGGGATCTGCTTCATATGCACCAGAAAATGATGCTTTGATCTGGAAAATTAAATCTTTTCCTGGTGGTAAGGTGAGAGTTTACCTCAATTTTTTCTCAGTGTATTGTTTGCTAGTAATTTCTTGTTCATGGCTATTGGTTATATGGGGCTACAGTATCTTTTCCACTTGCAATTTTGACATGGAATTTTGACACTCTTTGCAAATTCAATTTAGGAATATATGCTTAGAGCGGAGTATACTCTTCCCAGTATAACATCTGAAGACGCAGCTCCTGAGAGAAAAGCTTCTATACGTGTGAAGTTTGAGATACCATATTTTGTTGTTTCAGGAATCCAGGTTTCCCCTCTCAAATACAATTTTTTTTATTTTAATTTTTTATTGAATAGAAAATTCAGATATTGTTGCATGTATATCTACAATGCTTCGTTCTTTCTGTGTCTGCTGTGTTTGCGTCTTTTTTTTCATTTTTTTTAATCTATCTAGACAAAGGTGGAATGGATAAAACCAAACCTTGTGTGTTCCAATCAGGAATGATAAACCAAAACCAAACCAAACTTTGTGTTCCAATCAAGTGGGAGGATTCATACTTGATGTGGTTGAACACTCAAATCTGATGCAGGATATCACTCCTTGTTACGTGCATGTAGCCATGCACCTACCATTACTGCCCTGCTCTCCTTGATCAAATCAACAAATATAAAAAAAATAATAATAATAATAAAAAAAGGTTGGTTGTTGGACTGAGAATACTATTTCACTCACTTCCCAGGATTGCATGATACATAAATCTGCATTTTGTATGACTCTTATTTGGGTTTCATTATGCCCTGAAATGCTTGTCCTCCCAACAGAGGTCATGAATGACTCTGAACGACTGCTCCTCTGTAACTACCTATTCCAATATTACTTTCTTTTGACTCTGCATTAAAAGGGCCAACCTGCTTTTTAAATTCACAGATGTGGATACAAAAAAATCACAAACATTTGGTCTCTCATTTTACATGTATAGCAGGTTTTCAAGCGCAGCTTAATGATACCTGCACATACCATCTTGGCATTGAGTTTAATTTTCCAGGTTTGGTCTTAAAAAGTGATCCGCAGATTTTTGGAACAACAACTTGGGTCTGATTCTAGGGTAAAATATATAAAGCCACAAATAAAGTTTGTTTGCAATTCTCTTTCTTCTTCTTCATTTTTCTTGTTGGTTCTGAGCATAAAGCAAACCATGTTAATTGAAATGGTAGCACCTTATCGAATGTGTATAACAATGTGAAAAAGCATATAGTTCTATAACATGTTAATCCAGATTTTCTGGAACATGGATTCACCATGATAGTTCTTTTGATCATATAGTTACCTTGTTATGCTTAATCTTGTAGACATTGAATACGAAGAATTCCTGGTTGAAGTCTATATGCAGTTAGATGTTAAAAGGCATATAGTTCTAAGTGCACAGTCATTGTGGCCAAGCCTTTTAGCATTCAAACTGTCAGTGGCATTGAATTTGGAGTGAAATGGCTGGATTGGGTGCATTAATATGACTGGTGCACTTTCATTGTTCTAGGTAAAAAGCATTCATATAATACAAATTATTAAAATCCAAACAGTTTTCAGACAAGAATTTACAGAACATGACACATCTTACAGTTTATACACAGCACTATATTTTGCCAATAGAGAACCTCTAAATTTGAAGCCTTAAGGTGAAAAAAACCATTTAACTTGGGGAGAGGTTTTCTGAATCATTGAATAAAGGATCTGACATTAATAGATATCAAGATTCCTTGTGCATTTCCATGGCAGGTACTTGCAACTCGAGTTGCAAAAAATGGCAAAAACCCTGGCAGCTGCCAAAAGCAGGGCAGGACTTGCTAGGCAGAACAGATTGAGAGGTACATTTGTTGTTTCATAAATAGAAAAAAGGCCAACCTGCTTTTTAAATTCACAGATGTGGATACAAAAAAAGGCCAAACTACTCTCTGTCTGTCTTAGCCATTTTGGCATTGTAATTTGTCATTAGCCATTGACAGAAGTTGTGCTCGTTGAAGTGGTATTCCTGCTCCTGCACTGTATTTCCTTTTAGAATAGAATAGCGTGTTGAACTTAGAGATGTGGTTTTCCACAGATGTTAGTGATTGAGCATGTTTGAACCTATGTATTATAATTATGGCGTACTAAGCACAGTTGTGTTCTGTCTATTTTTTCACAGATGTGTTCTGTCTATTTTTTCAGATGTGTCTACAATCCTCACATGGGTCAGCATTACCTTCAAATATATGGCGTACCAAGCACAGTTAACACAAATATTGTCCCATATGGACAAATGGGTCATCCTTTCTTTGGCAACCATGGGTATCCAACCATTTAGGGCTATGTGACACCAGGTCGTCATGTTCTGCAATATGGGGGACCCCTCGTTAATGGAGTAACTACAGACACTATTACCATAACTCAAGCACAATACCTTGCAGGTAACTCTCTCTCTCTCTCTATGCTTTGAGCTGGGAAATGAGTGTGAAAATGATGCATACCAGATTTGGCATATAGCCAAAAAAATTATCAACCTGGAGTTGCTACTAGAATTTTGTTAACAATACATATTTGCGTATGTGCATACGCCTAAGTATATAAATGTCCATCCATGTTACACACAGACATGCAATTCTAGAAGCATTACAGTTTTGATTGTTAATACAATGATCATTAAGTAGAGACCAATTCATTCTTGCACAGATCCAGGATCATGTGAGATGTTTAGGATCATTTCTTCATCAATGAATTTGGACACATTGAGACTTTCAATAATGATTTTTGAGATATTGATACTGTAAGGTAGACCTCAATTCAGAATCACATTCTTAAATGGGTCTCTTATCCACTTATTTTTTTAAGAACTCAT